AAAAAAAAAAAAAAAAAAAAAAAAAAAAAAAAAAAAAAAAAAAAAAAAAAAAAAAAAAAAAAAAAAAAAAAATAGAATTTCATAAAAATATTAATAAATAGAATCAAGCATAAAACAAAATAATCGGATATTTAATTCTAGTTAAAACTTTGATAATAATAATCTATAAACAACAATAATAATAGTTAGAAGAGTATGTATCTAAACTAATAATAAAGTGACAAATCATTTTCAAAGTTATACTTAGAGTTTTAAACTAAAATGGTGAGCTAGTTAGAGAAATAGCTTTAGAACATATACTGTATACAAAAAGTTTAATGAAATACATGTAACAAAGGATTAAAAAAAAATAAATAAATAAAAACTAAATATATTTAAATATTCTATTTATGATAATTATAATCAAAAAAATTTTTTTAAAATATAATTATATATATTTATTTATTTCCTTCTTAAACATATTTTAATATATAAAGTTTTTTTACTAAATTTGATTTTATTAAATTCTTTGAAAATATACAATATAACCTATTGTTTTGACTTTAAAAATGACTTTAGTTTTGCATAGACGTCCTTGACTTAATAGCTATTTGGTTCCAAATTTATTATCATAGAATTTCAATTTTTCTTTCACGCATCCTTTTATTACTTTACAAATCTTAAATCCGAAAAAAGCCTATCAGAAGATTTTTTTACTTCGGATGCCAAAACTGATTGTATCTGCAAATAAAAATCCTAGATTTTCCTTTAGTTTTTTGATACCAGCTCGATTCCAAACATCTAGATCGCCGGTTCTAAAATAATATTTACCAGACTAATTGAAATATACACTTGTACTTTTTTAAATACATCTGAATAATCGTCCATAAAAGGTGCTATCTAACTGAAATAATCGAAATATTAAGGCCTTTTCTATTATAAAAATAAATAAATAAGAAATAAAGAAATCATGAAAAAATATCCAATTGAATAGAGGATTTCAAAAAAGATGGTAAACCCCCCTCACCTTCAGCTTCTTCAATGCATCCACATTATAATCCATATTTTCCATTTCCATCACCGCGTGCTTTTTGAATTTTACTTTAAATAAAGGTTCAAGTAAACATTTGTTAATATTATAGCATTCTGTAAATTTTAACATTTCCAGATTTTCGCAAAATAACAGCCCATCAAAAGATTCACATTTTGCAAAATCCGCCTTGATAAATTCAACTCTATGTAATGAATGTGTTTGAGTAATTAATGCAGGAAGAATATGATTGAAGTAATTTTTGCAGTCTTGTATAACTATTGATTCCAGTGATATTTGTTGCCGTATTATTTCTCCGTAACATTCTGCGTTTCTCTCGCATAGCAAATTGCCTTTTACACTACATTTTGAATGTACAATTATGTGCAGAGATTTCTATGGTATAAAGGTGCCACTTTTAGTATAATTAATCGACTTGTTCAAAGAAATAATATAACAGGTAAAAACAAATCCATATATTACCAAATTTCGACAAACTTCGCTTAGCCTTGTAAAAAATTTTCCATCTACAATTTCCATGTCCAAATAAAGTTTTTGTACTGGTTCGATTAATTTACGACTTGCTGGTTTTACAAGGTGCATAAATTCATTTTCCCAAACCCCAAGTCCATCACGATTCACGAGCTCTAAAGATTTTAATCTAATCTCGCGTCTTGCAAAAATTCGAAGAAAAGCCGGTAACATGTAACTATACAGATTGTTAATCTTATAAGTTCCGGTGCTGCCGCAGCCCCAATGAAATAATGATGCCATAAGACCAAAATAATTAAAATCCTTAAGATAATTAATGTAATCAAATGCAACTTTTTTCGGTATCGGATGGTCGATGATAACCCCTTTTCCTAACAATTCCTCGTGCTCCTTTTTAGTCAGACAAGCTACGTAGGCATCAATAACTCCGTCAAGTGGTAACACATCTGCGTATTTAAAAGGAGCCGACCAAAGAACGGGAATAGCAGCTTTACACCAATACCGATTAATCAGGAGGCAGTTAAATAAATCATCTGATCCATGTTCGTCATCGTTAAGATACTTGAAAATTTCGGTAAGTGTTTCTTGTGAAAATTGTTCAGGCATGTGTCTGCGTCAAATTAAATCATATTGATGATTAAATTACTTTAGCATAAAAACAATTTCTGATGCTAAAAATATATTACCTACTTTAATGCTTCACCGCAAACAACAAAAAGACGTGTCTTTTGAAAATTTCACCAGTAATTAAGATTTATAAAATATCTGATGACCCTCTCATAAAAATGTGGGCTTGAAAAAATTGGTATGCGTTTACTCGGGGAGGAGGCGTATGTCAATTTGTAAATCAGATCAAAGCTTCAATGCACAGTATATATATATATTTACTTATTTATATATTGCAATTTTAAAATCGTGATTTGCGAGAGGATCTCGTGATATGTACTTATGAATGGTTACGAATAACACTATATTGAACCTTTATATATTATAAATTTTAAAATTAAATTTTAAACAATTATTAAATTACTTTTTTTTAAATCGCGAATAAGTATTAGATGCGAGGCTTTATTAATTTATTGAATTAATCATTACATTAGTAACTATACTCATTATATTAAACATTTTACATTTCTATTTTGGCTTATACAATTGTAAGTCTAGTATTATTACAAAATTAAATAGACTTCCTATGTATTTTATTAATGATATCTGAATAGAATAGCTAGTATATATATTAATTATATATTTTACTACAGTATATAATGAATGATAGCTATATTATTCAAGCTCAAATTCTTAAAAATTCATTGATTAGCTAATATTATAATACTTTTTTTTTTTTTACCCTCTGTCAAGTTAGTTATGTGTGCTTTATTAAACATTTGTAACCTGTACATATTAAATGAAATGCTAAAGCTAAATCTCTAACTAACTTACTTATTTTTGATTGTATTACCTTTTTAAGTGCAACTTCAGGAGTGATTTATTGCTCCATTAGAGGTTCAGGTAAAAATCCTTTCAACTTCTAATATCATTGTCTACAGGTTACTATTGTAGATCACTTTTTTGAGCTTTGACAAAAATCAAAACCCCAACCACTTCATATCATACTTCACTTTATTTAATAGGATTTCTTTCAACTTCTTGCCTTTAACTCTTTTTTCTTCATATATCAGTTTCTCATTAAATCGACTTTTTATAATTTTGCTCTTTTTTCCTGATCTTGTGAATATAATGGTCTTTTTATCTTGTTGTATTTGCAGATTTCTGATTTTTGTTTCTATTCAATCACCTTTTCATATCTTGTATTCCATATTTTCTTTCAGAAGTGAGTATGTATTTTTTCTTGTATCTTCATTATTCATTTTCTTGCTTCTTTTCCAATTATCTTGCCATGACATATCAAATCTGTTATTTTAATAACTATTTCTTCCTCTATTAGTCCTATACAGAAATTAAGTATGTCCTGACTGATTTCTGAGATTCTTTTTACTAGTTTTGCTATCTATTTATCGATTTCTCCTATTTTTATCCTATCATTTATTCTCAAGCTTAACTTTTTCTCTTCTGATTCAGTCTTTCTTCTTTAAAGAACTTTTTGAATTCTTTAAAAACTCCTTCTATTCCTTTTTACCATGCTCATGAGAAGAAATAAGATATGCATTATCCAAATTTATATCCCCTCTGACAAACAACGAAGTAATAGGGTATAAGAGAAAGTACAAAACTTCATCAAAGAAAAGCATAAACAGAATTTTCACATAATAATTATAGGAGACTTCAATGCTGCATACAACCTTGCAGAAGATAGAATATCAACTTCCAGGATAACGTTCAAACCATCTTGGTATCCAGAAATCCAACTATTTAACTCTTTAAATGAATGGGATTTCATAGATACAAGCAATATAAGAAAGAAAAAATAAAACTTCAATAAAATAGGATACTTTTTTTTTTTTTTTAACCCGCAGTCAAGTCAGCATAGCATGTCTTTATTGTATATATGCTAGGTATTTACAAATTATTGTGATTTTCACATACTGACTCACTTGTCGTCAAAAAACTATTTCTCTAAATTCAATCTAGGGAATAATATTTCGCTCCTTTATTAATTTGGATAAATCCTCTAATTAATAAAATCATTGCCTACAGGTCATTACTGTAGATCA